TGGAAGTGGTAAGAGCAGATACCCTTGAATTATTCCTGCTCTGATGGAAAAGAAGCCAGTCTTTCACCATTAAGGATGATGTCAGTTGTCAGCTTTTCACTGATTCCTTTTATAAGACTGAGAAAGTTCCCTTCTAGTTTTGGTTTGCTGAAAGATTTTATCAAGAATGGATTTGGGGTTTTTGTCATATCCTTTTGTTCTTTCCATTGAGTTAATCATATACTTTTTCTTTTTTAGTCTTTTAATCTGATGACCCACAATGATTTATTTTTCAAACTTAAATCACCCTTGCATTCTTGGGATAACCACATTTGATCATAATGAATTATCCTTTTTATGTATTTTTGTATTTGATTTGATACACTGTGTTTAAAAACCTTCTTGTTTAAGATCCCGAAGAATGTTGTTCTGTAGTGTTTACTGCTTGCAATGTCTTTTTCTAACTAGGTATCAGGACTATGTTGGCCTCAGAAGAGGAATTGGGGCATTTCCTCCTCCTCAATGTTCTGGGGAAGTTTCTGTAAAATTGGTACCTCTTTTTCTCTAAATGTTTGGTAGAAATGCTCAGCTTTATTTTGTTTTGTGGTAAAGGTTTAACTACGAATTTGATTTCTTTCATCTCTGTGAGGATATTTATACAGATGGTCTATTTCTTCTTGAATGAGCCTTGGCATTTTATGTCTTTTAAGAAATTTGTCTTTTTCATGTAATTTGTCAGATTTATTGGTGTTAACTGGTTTGCAATATTCTCTTACTAGCTTTTTAGTATCAGTAGAGTCTGTAGTGATGCCCCCACCCTCTCTGCTGGTGGTAATTTTTGTCTTCCCTCTTTTTCCTGATCAGTCTGGATAGAAATTTATAAATTATGTTGATCTTCTCAAAAAAATCTGGTTTTTGATTTCACTGATTTTCTCCATTTTCTCTGTTTTCAATTTCATTGATTTATATTCTTTCCTTTATTATTTCATTGCTTCTGCTTACTTTCTATTACATTTTCTCATCTTTTTCTTATCTTATCAGACAGAAAATGGGCTAATCAATCTAATGTCTTTCCTCAGAATATGAGCATTCTCGTGCCATAAATTCCCTTTTAAGTACTGCTTTAGTTCCTCTCACAAATTTTGAGATGTTGTGTCATTATTTTCATTCAGTTCAAAGTACTCTGATTGCCTGTTTGATTTCATTTTTGATCTGTGAATTATTTAGAATTACGTTATTTTGTTTCCAAGTAGTAGGGAGATTTTTCCAGACATCTTTCTGCTTTGATTTCTAATTTTGTTTCATTGTGGCCAGAGAATACATTTTTTTATTTTACTACTTTTATTAAAACTTATTTTATGGCCCAGAATATGGCTTCTCTTGACAAATATTCCTTGTGCACTAGGAAAGAATAAGCGTTCTGTGTTTGCTGGATGGAATATTCTAAGTGTCAATCAGCTCAAGTTGGTTGACAGTGTTTGTTTCCTTTATTCTTATGAATTTTCTCTCTATTCTCTCTACAAATTATTAAAAAAGAAGTGTTGGAGTTGCTGACCATGATTGTGGGTATATTGATTTTGGGTAGTCATGTATTTGGGGGCACTATTGTGGATGCCTTCTTGATGAATTAACGCCTTCATCGTTAAGAAATGGTCCCCTTCATTGCTGGTAATAGTCTTGGCTCTGAAAATTACTTGTTATGTATTAATGTAGCCATTTCTGATTTATTCTCATTAATGTTAGTGTGATATATCTTTTTCCATCCTTCAATTCTTCACCTATACATGTATTTATACTGAATTTGTGCTTGTTTTGTGTTGTTCTCAACACTACATAATGTGGTTTTGTTCTTTAATTTGACCTGACAATCTCTGCTTTTTAATGGGGTGTTAACACCATTTATTTTTACTGTGATTCTTAATCATTTTTAGTTTAAATCTATCATCTTGCTATTCCCTGTTTATCCAAGGTGTTCTTTGATCCCTCTTTCCTCTTTTTTTCTGCCTTATTTTGAATTTTTATTTTTATGATTCCATTTTATCTTACTGGTTGAAGTGTTAGTTACAATTCTTTGTTGTATTATTTTAGTGGTTGCTATAGAATTTAGTACATAGCTGTAATTTATTACAATCTACCTTCAAGTGTTTTTATACTGCTGCACACATGTAGTTAAGAACCTTTAAAGTATAAGAACCTTATAACGATGTACTTCCATTTCTTCCCAATAGAATTTGTACTATTTTTGCCATGAATTCTGCATCTATACATGCTATAAATCTCACAATACATTACTACTTTTTGCTTTGAACAGTCAACTATATTTTAAAGAGATTTAAATAATAAGAGAAACTATCTTTATACTTACCCATGTCGTTACTATTTCCTGAGCTTTCCTTTCCTTTATGTAGATTTGAATTTCCATCTGGTGTAATTTTCCTTCTGTTTAAGAACTGCCTCCAACCTTTTTTGAATAGTAGATCTGTTGATGAAGAATTATCGATGCTTCTCTGTAACCAAAAAATTCTCAATCTGCTTTTGTGTTTGAAAGGTATTTTTAATGGGGTATAGAATTCTAGGTAAATATCTTTTTCTTTTAGAACTTTAAAACTCTTGCTCTGTTATCTTCCGGCTTGCATTGTTTCTGACAGGAAGCTGTCTATCCTTCCTACCCATGTTCTTTTGTTTATAACATGTTTTTTTTCTCTCTGTTTTTATGATTATTTCTTTTTCTAGCAATTTGATTTTACATAACCTTGAAGTAATTTTATTCATGTTTCTTTTGCTTGGAATTCACTGAGCTTCTGGAACCTGGTAGCCTGCCTGCTAGCGCTGTCTTGGATTCGCTGGACCTTAGATGCCAGCTCTTCAACTCAGGGAATCCGCTGCCTGGCCACCCCCTCCATGTGGCCCAGAAACTCCTTCCAGGCAGAAAGCTGTGGCAGTAATTGGGATCCCCTGCTTTGTGTCTCTTTCTCAGGGACCACCATCCTAACTGCATGATATTCAATATCAATATCAAAAAAAATCTACATTATTTCATAAATCTTGTCTGATTTTTAAATTGTTTTATATACAACAGTATATCTAGTCTCTGTTACATCATCTTTGCTAGAAACCAGGAACTAACTTTTATTGAACATCTACTATGCACCAAACACTTTACATTCATTCTTTCATGCAGTTCTATCAGAAGTCCTATGTCGGAGATACTGTGAACCCTTTTTACATATGAGGAAACTTGGGGATATGACAGAATTAATGAATAAAGTCATATATCCTATTTGACGACATAATAATTGCTTGATCTCAAATGTGTCTGACCACAAAAGGATGCTAAGGAAAGTAAATGAGTGCAAATAAATAAAATCCATTTTTTAAGGTTCATTTCCATCATAACCACTTCAATGAGCAGTTGAACCTTCCTGTTTCCCTAGAGGCGATAGCAGAGACATGATCTGGGAACATGATTTACATTCCCATTCTCTCTCTTAGCTGATTTTTCTTTCTCATCCCTAGATGATATCTAGGCTTCACCCCTCTGAGGCTGTGGGGATAACAAGGGCCTAGGAGAGGCAGAGGTCCTCCCATGTAAGAGCTGTGCTTGTGGTGCTGAGATGCCACTGGCCTCTGACCAGGCTTGTTCCGATGCCCCCAATGCCCTCTGCCCTTAGCATGTGCTGTTTCCGTGAGGAAGTTTGTCATCAGTCAGATCCCCTCTGGCCCTGCCTGTGGTTCCACCCCTGCTGTGGAGGAAGTTTTACCTTATTTGACTAGAGGCTTCTGTTCCCTTAGGGACCCCCCATGTTTCTTCACAGGGAGCCAGGAAACTGCTGAGGCCCTTGGCACTTGCCAAGGACCAAGGGGAGCTGGCGTGGGCTGGGTGACCCTCCCCTTCTGAGGCTCACCACCCTGAGGCTCCTTCCCACCCTTCAGCCTTGGGCGGCTTCTGCCAGGCCCCCCTGTCAGCTCTCCCTCAAGATGACATGGAGGAACAAGACTTGCTACGAGTTCCCTCACTGTCATCGGCTCTGGTGGCAGCATAATGTTAGGGCGGAAGCCTCTCTGCGGTTCCTTGGCTCACCAAGTCTCCGGGACAGTAGGGTGCCAGTCTCTCCTTGTGTGGGTGTCCTGTTTTCTGTGACTTCCCGGAACCCCACTCCAGTCATTTAAACCCTGGACATGAGAGAACTGCCTCCTGGGAAGGGCTGAGAGGGAACCACCTCCCACTGAGAGAACAGAGGCTTTCCCTCCGGTCTCCTAGTGACCGCCTTGTAACAGTCCACTTGCTAGGTGATGGCGCACTGGGGCCTGTGGCTGCCTCTCCACAGCTCTGGGGGCATTGATGGGCCCTGGTGCTGGCTCTTCAGACGGGGGCACATTAGGGCCTCTTGTTTTCAGACTAAGCCCCAAGGCAACAGTAAAAATCCCACTTAATATCTTGTTCTATAATCAATAGTTCAACTGGCCTTGTGCGGCAGCTGTCCAAACTATGATCCCGAAGGGTGACTTAAATTTCACTTTGCCTGATTCTGTTGTCACAGCTTTGAAAATCCTAATAAGCCTTGAAGTACACAAATATGGATAGAAACCTGGGAAAAGTTGGTACGGTGTGCAATAAAGCAAAATAGACAAATTAACTACTCTCTTGCACAAAATGTGTACAGTCTGACGGAAACACAGGGTGCCTGCCTTTGGGGCCTGAGCTGGTTTCCGAGAAATAGGAGTGGGCATGGGGGTGGTGGAGAGCAGGGCAGGAGAGGATGGAAAGGATGAGAAGGGGAGGCAGAGGGGGAGGGAGAGGGGGACTGAGAACATGTTAAGACGCTGCTTTATTTTTGTCCCCATGGATACAGCCCAGAAGGAGCACGGGGGGCCCCTCTGGGGCTGGGCTGGAAGCTGGCAGGCCAGAGCTCTGGGATTGGTGCCCGTGCCCGGGGAGTCAGCATTCCTTCCCAGGGAGGTGGCGTGGAAGAGAGCTTTCAAGTGCATTCAGCGTTCTCCCCCACGGCCCTCCCCAAGGCCCCCTCCCTCCCACCTCCCAACGCCAAACTCCTAAATTTACTGCAGAAAAGCAAGCTTATTAATCCAGACTGACCCTGACAAAGCAAACTAAGCCAGCAGCCCCCTCACCACGAGAACCCTGAGTTTGGAAGGTAAGTGCTGCCCTCCACGTTCTTTAATAAAAGTTTAGTGAACACTTTCAACTCTAAAGCAAGCTGTCTTAAAATTTCTTCCCTGTGTCCTGACCTTATCCTCCCCTTTAATGCTAAGCTTTTTCCTGGATTATTGTCTGCCCAGCGTTATCGGCAGCAATCCATTTAGATCCTGGGTGCCGAGAGCACCCTTAGCTCTGAAGCAGGTGCGGTGAAGGACTCGGAGAGGAGCGGTGGGCGCCTGCCTTTTACGGCTGCAGAGCCCACAGGAAGAGGTTCAGCAGGCCATGGTCATCAGGCACCAGGCATGGGGAGAGATGGGAATTCCCAGCACAGGGGCGAGGGCAGCTACTGAGCATGTGTCCTCTCTGAGTGCCCCCCACTCCTGGCTGCCTGCACCACCCGTTTCGATTGCTGGGCTGTTTTGTGAGCAGTAGATCCTACCCTTGAACTCACTGAAACAGTGATGGCTCAGCTCTGGCATGCACTGTTAGATGCCAGTCACAGGCAAGCTCCTTGAGGGCAGGAACTGTGTGTCACCCCCTGCCCCCTCGGCTCTCTGCGCAGGCCCCGGCACACGGGAGGATCACAGGCTGGGTGCCCGCAGGTGTATGTGAGCGGGCGACCTGAAGGGGCTCAGAATGGCTCTGCCTTCCACCCCAATCCTCTCCAGACCCCTGAGCAGGCTTTTGGGGGCCTTTTAAGAATAGTAGAAGGGACTTCTCTTATTGGGCAAATAATGTCTTATATATGGGAAGTGCTTCTATTTTCCTTCCCCAAAGAGTTGTTTGTATACTTTTCTCTTCATCTTCACAGCAGTCTGACTGGGGGCTCTGTAGGGCACCTATCGCCGATCACTATTTTATTGGCAAGGAGACCGAGTCTCAGAGGAATGACGTTACCCTCAATCCTTCCGTGTCACCCCAGAAGCTCATTTCACAATAAGGCAACGTGTCCCGGTAGAGCGGGTTCACCTCACAAGGCCCTGTGGGTCCAGAAACACACAGGACCCAAGCAGTGGTCCCCGATTTAAAGCTGGGTTCCGGGTCCCAGCCTTGCTGCATGGGCTTAGTCGTGGTGCCTGGGAGAACCTTGTTTCACTGTCTCTAGACCGTGAGGGGGATGGAGAAGCCCACGGCCGGGGCGTCACTGTACAAGTGCTTTGACTGGGAGAGGAAGAATGCCAAGCAGGCCGAGACCAGGCTGGGCCAAAGGCTGCAGAGACTCGAGGCCGTCCGCCTGCAGCGGGCGAAGCTGCTGGCCAGGGAGCAGAAACAGCTGCAGGAGGATCTGACCAGGCTGCAGCAAGGTGAGGCGTCCCGTGCGGGGCAGGCGGGCAGGCAGGGCAGCAGGCCGTCCCTCGGCTGAGGGGCAGGAGCTCTCGAGACCCGGATACCGAGGCAGCAAGACCCTCCCGCCTCAGCCGTCCCGTGTCCCTCCCGCCCTCCGTTTCCTGGCTCCCTGCAGAAGCCCGTGCGCGAGCCCGGTGAGCCAATGCCGCTCAGGCGTCCCAACACTTCAGTCTTTCCAATGAACACTCTTTTCCTTCAACCCTTAGTTTTCTACTTGCTTATTTTCCATTATTTTCCCTTTGGCTGTATCTGGGTTGACCTGGTTTCACCTCTTTCTTATGCCTGGTCAATGACCATTCATTGAGCAACTATGAATGTGCAAGTCACCTTATGAAAGGGAAGTTTTAAAAAATAGTCCCCTGGAACCAGTGACCAGACCACAGGATAGGGCGACAGCTGGCCCTGGGCTGGGCAGGGAGCACTTGGCAATTTTCCACAGTCACCAAGCTGAGATTCAGGCCCTTCCTTCTGTGGAAAGTGAATTTCTCACCCACCCTCATCGTATTCCATGGTGTTATTCACACTGGAGCCTGCAGATTTTGCTTAGATTAGAAAACTTCAAACAAGCAATTGTGCATCATTACTGTGTTTCCCTTGTCTTTTAAGCCAAAGGACAAGTATTTCTGTCACTTCCCTGAACAAGCCTCTTTTCCTATAAAATGTGCTCAGACTTTTCATGATAATCCCGCTCCATCAAACCTCTTATCTCCAAAGAATCACCCTTTTCAAATATATTCTACTAAGGAGACTATCCAGTTAACAGAGACTACAAATTAAGTGCTTATTGCAAGAAGAGTGTTACTAACTTCAAACACTAGTTTCTAGTTAGTAGCTACAGACCATCCCAAATGGGAAGGCCACGCAATGGTACACAGAATCTCAGGCCTTCCTAGGCCGTCGACACGGTTCAGGGAGAGACGCTGCCAGCTCAGCGATTCCTCCTCATCCATTAAAAGGGGTGTGAGAACACAGACTCTGGACCCAGGTTGTCGGGGTTGAAATCCTGACTCCATCACTTACAAGCTAGGAGCCTTTGGGCAGCTTACTGGACCTGCTGGTGCCTCAGTTTCCCCAATTATAAAATGGAAATGATGTTACCTACCTTGGGAGGTTATCTGGGCAGTCAGCGAGCACTTGGAACAGTACCTAAGTACACAATAAGAGCTATGTAAGTGTTTGATGAAAGAATCAAAGACTGTTACAGGACTGGAAGTTTTCTACTATTTGGTTGAAAATTGCCACAGTGGTACAGTTTGTAGAAACTAGTGCTCCTGTGTCCATCCTTAAAACAATTAGATTTTAACATTACTTCAAAATTCAGCACAGAATGGATCCATCTCAGCTCTGCAAGACTACAGTCCCTTTCCTCAAGGCAGGTGGTGCCAGCACTCAGGAGCTCTGAAAGGAAAGCGATGCCATGTGTTCAAGAGGAAAGCCAGGTGCCATGGTTTGCTACAAAATCGTCAGGTCTGCACAGCTAAGATATGGACACAAGAGCCCAGAATATTGTCCAAACACCTGGCCTGGGGATTATTTCTAACCTCCAGCTTTGGGTTTGAAGGATGGCTCTCAGCAAGTAAGTGTCCATCCCAAATAAATAGTTAAATCAACTAGAATGAGAGCTTATATTCTGGAATGGGATCTTAGGATCCATTTGGTGAATCCCACTTCAGTTCTCAAAAGGGCCACTAAAGACCAGATACCTACTCTGAGCAGGGGGCACTGAAGGTCAGGCCCAAGGTCAGAGGCTGCCTGTGCTGAGTAGAGAGAGCTTGCCTCTGTACAGGCAGCATAGGAAGCGTCTGGATCAGGAAGCAGAAAGCTTTGCTTCAGACGCCTCTGTCTCTATGGTCTTTAGAAAGTCATACCCTCTCTGAACCTCAGACTCCTCGACAGTAAAATTAAGGAAACAGAAAGGAAATAACACATACCAATAATACGTATTAAGGCTCAATATTTATCAGGCACTCTGTTAGGCAACATTTTTCCATGATTCATGTGACAAAATTGTTATGGAGATTCAAGTGCATGCAGTTAGTAGGTTACTTAAAATGCATATTCTCAGTCCTCCTCTGGAGAGATTAGGCTACAAACCCACATTTTTAACTGAGGTGAAATTAAGGCAAATGATCTTGGGACAAGCATTCTGCAGGCCAGACTTTACAAAACACTATTACTGCTGCTCAGATAGACACAGGAATGTGACGACACGTGGTCTGCGCCCTTAAGATGCCCATATTTCAATTGGAAGGCAGCCATGCTTGCGAAAAGGTCTGATAGAAAATGTTAATTGTTAAAGTTCTTTTACAAAGCAGTCCAGGGAGTGCGGTAAGAGGTGGGCAGTTGGTCATGAGGACCTGTGGACCAAGGCCCCTGCTGGCAGAAGGAACAGTGTGTTCAAGAGTGCAGGCATGACTGGCTACAAATAGCTCAGAACTGCAGGAGCCTAAAGGGCCAGGACACAGTATCGGTGTGTGCCGAGAGGCCAGGCAGTGTAGGCAGTGTTTGCAACCATAAACAGCTTCACAGGTCTTGCAAAAGGGTTGAGAGTGGGCAGATTACAAGGTCAAATTTCAGAAGGTCACTGGCTGCACTGTTTGAGGTTTTGTTTTAAGGGGTCTTCAAGTTGGGGCCCGGGTTTGAAGACCTAAACTAAGGCATTGCCCAGGTAAGGAAAATGAGTTCGCTTGAGATATTTAGAGAGCGGAACTGTCAGAGCTTTAGGACTGATTATATGCCCAAGAGTAAAGCAAGCCCGAGTCAAGAGTATATTACTTGGCACAAAGCAGGCACTGAAACACACTTGTCAAGTGGGCCAACTGGGTGGTGACAGGTATCCTGTCTTCACAGAGAGGACACTGGAGAAAGATCACATTTTGGAGAAAAGAGACACTCATTTCTGAACGTGCTGGCTCTATAGATTTAAAATGCAGGAGACTGACCTACCTGGGGCAAGTAGCTCAAAATCTCAGAGTTTATAGGGAATAAATGAAGATCTTATGTAGACAAGACCTATTTGCATGTGCACACAGACACACACAGACACACACAGACACACACACACACACACACGAAGACACAAGCGGAGGAGGGGCCCACAGAGGACTATCCATTGTCCTGACTACCTGACAAAATACCCAATCAGATGAAAAAGAGTATAAGGAGTCTGGTGTGAATCCGTGCTTCCTCGGCCTGGTGCCTATCGCCCGCCCTGTGGGTTCAAGGAGCCCCCCTCCCAGTAGAACAAACTGGAGCAAGGCTCTCTACCCCTAAGTGACCAGCCCAAGAGATGTCTTGAAAACTAACAGGTCCTCTACAGCAGCTGTGGTTACCAGGTGCCGAAACATTAACTCAAAGAGCGAAAAATCCCCTTAATCATAGTCAGCAGGTGCAACCCCTGGCTCCGGCGGGTAGAAGTCATGTAACTGAGGTGAGTGAAACAGTAGGGCGCCATCTCTACATATAGCTTGCACCCAGTTATTTTGTTTTGAAAACACAAATAAAACATTCAAACAAAAATTCTGTGGGCCTACCGAGATGAAACCTCCGATCATGCTGTTTCCAAATCCTCTTTAACATGTTCTAGGTACACACTGGGGAGCTGCTCTAAGTTTTCGTGCGTCCATTCATCATGCAGATCGGCCTGGGACCCACAAGCTTTCATATACTAGGTCTCAGCCAAGAGGACTCATCTCCAGTGTCCAACATTCTTTCCCTTCTTCTCTTCAGTCTGAGTTTTTTAGGGCTGCACTAACTAAGTACCACAAACTGAGTGGCCTAGTCGGCAGAACGGACTGTCTCACAGTTCTGGAGGCTAATGTCCGGAATCGAGGTGTGTGGTGGGGCTGGTTCCTTCTGAGGGCGTGAGGTAGGGATCTGTCCCAAGCCCCTCCTTGCCTCATAGAGGCTGTCTTCCCCCTGTGGCTCTCCACACGGTCATCTCTCTACCTGTGTCTCAGGGTCTAAATTTCTCTTTTTCATTAACACTTGTTAATGAACTCAAAGCAGATATTATCAAGAAAAAGCTGTCCTCTTATTTCGGGAATGGAAATCAGAAGAGACCAGAAGATGCTCTCATGTTCTCACCACGGGGAGGGCAGACGCACAGAGCTCCGCAGGCTCGTGAAGTGAGGTGAGAAAGTGCACGCGGGACTCGTGGAGATGGCACTGAAGGCTCCTGTCCCTGAGAACACGCTGCCTTCCCCCTCTGAAGACAGGAGACCTTTCCCATACCCTTCCCACCCCTTCCCACCTTCCTGCTTCTCACCCGCTGGACCACCTCGGCTGAGACCGCACTGAAGGGGGCCGTGGTCTCATAACTTGAGGGTTTGGAATACAGGCCTCTTCATCAACACTCAGAGCTCTTCCTCCCTTTCTCCTCCTTTCCCAGGGCACCGGTGACCGTCAGGACGCAGGAAGTACACAAAGCCAAGTCCCAGGTGCCTCGATTCCATCACACTGGCCTCAAGGACCCAACGACAAACAAAGGGAAGTCAATACCTCCAAACGACAGAACGTCCCCTTTCACAGGAGAGAAACCACAAGCCCAGGAGACAGATTCTATAAACCCACCAACGGGCAAAGACCCCAGCCAGGGCGTCTCTGTCCTGTGTCAGGACCAGGTCTCCGCCAACACCCCAGACCAAGGCCCCAGCTGCCGCCCAAGAGGTGAAAGCAGAGCGGGACATGCTGCTGAGTCCCGATCAAACGACACCGACCTAAAGCCAGACCTGAGCCCCGCAGAATGTGCTGGAAACTTCAATGGCGACTCTACGAGGTCAACCTACTTAGAGTTGTTTGAAAAGGCCAAAAATGCCCATTACCTCCGGCACAGGGTCCCCCCCGAGTCAGAGAGATTGCTTAGCATCGGGGAGATATTCGGGCACGAGGAATCCCTGCAGCCCCGCGCAGGAGCGGAGTGTGAGAACAGGGTGGCCTCCTAAGCTCTCCTCTCTAGCCACCTGCTCTGACCTCACAGTAACATACATCCTGATCACTAAAGAAATGTCTTCCTCAACTGACTGCGGTGCGCAATACAGATACATACACATTATATGGCAATTTATTTTAAACCCTTAGGCTTTTTTTCTCCCTTTTACAGGATTATAATCTTTCATTGAATAAGCAATGCTAGCATATGGAAAACGATATGAGAGATGAACCTTCTGAATGCTTTTTAATCGACGCACACATGTTGCCAATATCATCAAACAGAAGAACGTGTCGTCATGACTAGACTTTACCCGAAAGGAGAAAGATTAAGGGTCCCGCTCACATATGCCACCCTTTCCTTATAGGAGATGCTTAGGGCGCCACCTGCTGACATAACGGCAGAACTCTTCTGCCTGTTTTAATTTCATAGAAAAAGGTTAGAATAGGAACTCAAGTGAAAATATGTACTGTAATATGGTCTATAAATAAAGCCTGCTCTCCTGCCACAGCTCTGTGCTTATTTTTGAAGTCTTTCCTTTATGCCTTCATTTCCGGGTAGCTCCATGGTAAGAGTCTCATGCTCTCCTGACTGAGCTAGCCAGGCGCTAGATGGTTCCATTCTAGTTTCTCATTCCCACTAGCAACGTGCTCCTATCAAACTTTGGGGATCCTAATAAGAGTAATGAACAATTTATAAGAGATGTGCTCCTAACATTTTCTCCCAAGAAGCAAAGCAAGGGGTGAAAGCAGTCCAGGGGGTGACAAAATTGATTCATGAGTCCTTAATTAATTTACACTTAAATAATGCTTGATTTATGACTGAGCTCATAGGACTAGGGACCCACAGTTCAGAGAACTCTCTGTGCAAACTGCCCAAGCAGTTTATTATAGGTTCTTTTTCCTTGTTCTTCTACTTCAATCCTGTCTGTCTCCATTACACCCTCCAAGGATGAGTTCTCCAAATGATATACCCCACTTCTAAATGGGTTCCTTCTGCATGCTAGCCATAACTGGAGGGCAGGGCCAGCACCCCAGCGGCAGGGAGCTCGGCCTCAGCTTGCCCTCTCTTCCACATGATCGACCCCCCTTCCCCCTCCAAGGACACCTCGGACCTGTGAACTTGAGAAATTAATATTCTGCACATTCCTTGTTAGAGTGCATATATCTTTGTTTTTCTGATTAACCCAATCTGCCTGTACTTTCAACTCCAATATTTTTTGCATTCCATTTCAAGTGATATCTCATGCATTACCACAAAATTGTGGGTTTACAAATCTTCTAACCCATAGATCTTTTATGGTTATCATTTGGTCTAATACATTTTCCTTCTTAAAGACAATGGATGCAATACTTTTATTGGTACAATTCAATACAATCAAGGGAAATCTGCCTTGGGGGGCCTCACCCGGCCTAACTCCTTAAATTCTAAAGAACGGTTTAAATCCCTAATTTTCACAAGCCTCTAGGATGGCTTGCACCCAGTCAGCTTAAAGTTAGACATTCATACCAGGGGGTCTCACCTGGGCATAAATGTTCTTCCCAAAGACATCCCAACGTTTTCTGTCGTCATGACCCAGATGTGGAGGTTAAAAGACCCAACCTATATGCCATTGCATTAAATCGTCACAAAACCCTCTGACATAGGAAATCAGTGAGATAATTGCCCTTGTTTTACAGAAAGGAAAACTGAAGCCCACACTCGGCACAATAGCTCTCTGCGTACCAGAACATGCACGGGAACGGAGCCCAGCCCCTGCCAGCCTCTCTCTTAGAGAAGGGGCGCCAGGCAACATCCAGGGGCTTGTGCCCAGTTGTGAGATACTTTCCAGCCCTATACATGAAACTCGTTAACAATACAATTAAAAGAGATGGTAAAAAGGAAAAAGTCATACTTAAATTTTGAGGGAACATGACATTTTTTATTACATTCATGCATTCATTAAGAGATGCATTGAGGGAAGACGGTGTCTTTTCCATCGACTCCCTCAGGAGCAATAGGGGGCTCTCAGTGTTCCCTGAACCCATCCAATGGGGAGGGAGTCCCCTTCCCTCCCGGAGGCATCTGCAGATCTGACTCAGCCTCTCACCCAGGGCCCCAAGGCTCTGGGGGCCGCTAAGGGGGACTGAATGTCCCCACAACCCTCAGTGATGGGCAAGTTGCTTCTGGCAACACGGGGGTTCCAGCCCCTCTGAGGGGGAGGCAGCCTCCTCGGAGGGGGCGTGCTCTGCTCCCACAGCCAGGGCCCAGGGCAGCTGAGGACGCCTGGCTCCAGGCCCACAGAGGTGAACAGCCCCACAGGACCATGGACAGCCAGTGGGGCAGGGACTGCTGCCAAAATCAGGGCAGGCGGAGATGTGTAAACCATTACATATGAACCTCACTCCTCCCTCAGCCCCAGGGGGGTTGGGGGGCATGTCACCCGGAGGGCAGAAGGCCAGAGAGAAGGGAGGCTGGGCCTTGCTCTTCGGCCTGAAGCAAGGTGCGGGAGACCAGAAGTTCGGTGGGGGTGGGGGGCTGACTTTCAACAGCAACTGAGTAATAGTACCTAGTGTGGTGGGAAGAATATCTACCAGAAGCAAGACGTTTAAACAACCCAGAAGTTACTGGATCCAATGGAGGGCATAGTAAGCAAAGCTGGCAGCAGTTCTGGGGAGAGCAAAGATACCTGCACCATGCTTACCCCTCACCAGGGCGAGGTTTCCCCATCTGATCTCTATGGAGAGGCATTGTGCCGAGATGCACTCGCCGTAAGGAACACAGGCATTTAGGACACGGTCCTCATCGCCAGTGGGCTTGGGTGTGGCCCACTTGAGGTTCAGAGCGGAGAAGGCTTTACTTAGTTAGATGCACTAGGAACTGTGCCCCGATTTTCCCATCTTCCCACCACTGTTTTGAAGATGTTGCTGCTCCATGTCGTCAAAGGAGGCATGGATCAATTAGAAACTATAAATGAAACTTAACGTAATTAGTTTGCTTATTTTGAACCGTTCGAATTTAATTCCATTAAAGTGGCACCATGACCCTAGGCAATGAAAAAAACCTTCCTGGTAAAAAGAAGACACATGTACACATACATACAAAGACTCCAGATATGCTGAACCAACGGTGCTTGGAATCAAACCCGAGACTAGCACAGACCCTCTCGTCCCAAAGGCAGTGTTAACAAAATATTTCAAAGGGGTGGGATAAACAGAAAAATGTGTGCAAGCTGTCTAGAAAGATGTTTAATTAGGCAATTCACTACCTTGGGAATTTTCTAACACTCTTTCCCAGGACTATTTGTTCCTATAGACTATTTGTTCACAGACCCAGGAAATGGGAAACCTTTTACCAGGAAGGTTTCTTTCATTGCCTAGGGTCGTGGTGCAACTTTAATGGAATTAAACTCGAACGGTTCAAAATAAGCAAAGGGCATAGGCACTATGATCAAAAGCCGAGAACCGAAGTTAGAACTGCCCCAACGAGTAACTGACGCATCCCACGGCAGCAGAGAAGCCGCTGGAAGAGGGCATGGCTTACAGACCCATCACTGAGTCCTCAGCCTATTTCCCGTGAGCTTAAGCTCCAGCAAATAGATACTATAAGCAGAACACTGATTCCAACAGTTATTTTAATATATTAAATTAAAAGCTAGATAGAATTTTACAGAATACATATAAAAATTCATATATCAATGATACTTTACTGAAAGGATTTTCCCTCGTTCTCCTCATGGGGTGCAGTCACACTGCGAAACTGGCCATGATAGCAAGGTGCCCCATGGTCACAGATGGTGGTTCACCCCAAATGCTCACACCAACAACATAGCAGCTGTCAGTAGGCGAGTGGGGGGGATTGTGTTTCAGGGGGGCTTCGGCCTCTGCTCAGATATTACATTTGAACAGTGACCCTAATATTTTTCACCTTCTAGCAAACCTGGTAAAATTTTTCAGCAGTGACTTCATGCAGGCTCATCTGGCTACAAAAGCAAAACAGCAGTATTTCTTGGTCCTAATATTAAAGCAAAATGAGATTTAAAAATTTGGGGTCACAAAGGAAGGCGTTTCACACACCACACACATGGAAAGAGAATGGACACAAAAGTTATGGACAGGAAGAGTTCAGCATGTAGGGCTCCTCGGGGAATTCCTGGGATCTGAAGCATTTCTCTTCGTACCACCTCTGTCCCTTACTGAGCCCACTGGGACGTCTCCTGAACAGAAGAGCTGACCCGTCTGGGCTTTGCTGCCCCTAATCGCCGTGTAGCAGAAGCTCTAGCCACTGTATCTTGACCAAAGAATAAACAAGCCCTTGCATCAAAAACACAACAGTTGCCTTAATCCTAAAATCAAAACTCTCATAATTATCTGAGCAGCAATGAGATGAATAACTTCTTCTCCTGTTGTAACGACTGATTCCCAACATTCCTTCACTGTGGAAAACAAACAATAATTATTCATCCATAGCTACCTGACTTTAACCTCCCAGCCAGCCCTCCAGATACTGTAAATAATTCACAATCAGGAGAAGGTGAATACACTCTCTGAAATCTGTTCAGAGTGATCAAAATCCCTCAGTTGGAGAGTTCTACATCTCACCCCTTCTTTGCCATTTTGTCCTAAATACCACTAAAAACAAACAAATCTGTTTTTAGTAACATAGAAATAACCATCTTGTTTATACTAGTCATCTTGGAGTTTTCCCACAGAATACTGGAGTTGGTAAAGGCTTTAGGGGTTAACCAGTTCAACCTTAGTCCCCAGGTATGAAATGACTGCTTCAAAACAAACAGAAAGTGAAAACACTTGTTTTCAATGAATTTTCCACCAATGATTTTGGTTGAGAGTTTGAAGTTTGTCCACCGTATGTGAAGCAAGGACCCTCCCTCGTGGTGAAGATGGCAGGCTCGAGCAGTGACCTTGAAATCAGGAAATCAGTTATTAGACTACTATGATTCCCCAAAGGGTGTTCCAAAAGATGCTGCTATAAGAAAAAGGACTCTGTGCTAAAACAAATTTGGGGAAACCTAAGTTAAACAATGAAAACAAATTTTCCTATTTTGTAACCTAAGTCTTTAATATGCTATGGCTAAGATGAATACTGGGGGTGGGGGTGGGGGTTATGTTATGCTGAATTCCCCTAAACAACAAGACCATGGAAATTTCATCCATAAATCATCTTCCGGAACTGTGATAACTCACTAAACACACTTGAGAAACACTGGCTGGGGATAAAAATTAGATTAGATAAGTTCTTTATCTCACGTAGGTCAAATAGCAAAGATCTCACAAGTTCCAGAGAGCAATAGCAGGAACGACATTTTTCTTAGAGACTATTTTCCTCAATTTCTTTATAGGCGTTCCTACAAGCACATGCATACACACCCTCACACGGGTGCACACATACACACCGATGCGGCGACAGCCTCACTCAAAAAATTTTGTATCAAATGACAGAAATGGCATGAAGATGAGGAAATGTGTGTGGCTGTTTCAGCGGCTTCATAAATACATAATATGTGT